ATATATATAAATATATATATTTGTACATTTTACTATCTGTAAAAGTCCTATTCAAAGAATATGATGACATCACGATTTGCAATGGAAAATGTGTATTAGATTGCCCATTCCATATGCATATTTTCCATTTTGGGTGAAAAATCGGTTTATCAGGAGATGCAAAAAAAGCTATTTGAAAACTTATAGAGTTTAAATGATTCACCACAAAAAAACTTCTGCATCATCAGCGTGGAAACAAACAATTGGTTCTTACACATCTTCATCACTCATTTGCTAGACATGACTGTGGATATTCATACTTCTCTTGTCTTCTCACATGTTTTTCTAGCGTATGTGTTTGCCGGCCTATTTGTTTTCCAGTTGTGACACATTAGGTTTATCATTAGACAATTGTCTTGTCTGTTTGTATGCTTCAGACCCAGCGTCGTGTGACCTTCCATCTTCCCGACGGTTCCCAGGAGAGCTGCAGTGACAGCGGGCTGGGAGACCCAGAGCCCAGCAGTGGGGCCAGTGCCACCCAGCCTCTGCCCCTCAGCTTTGCCCAGGAGGAGTACTATGAACAAACATCTCCAAACAGCCGCACCGAGGGAGACGGAAACTCAGACCCTGAATCCAGTGAGTACTGTTTCATGCTATATTTAGACCGAAAAACATTGCAAGTGGCCATTTGTGTTTCGAGACAAATTATTTGGGATTACAGCTACAATTGTAATTGTAATTTAACAAGCAGCTTATGTCACATAAAAAACAAAAAATTCTGTTACTTGTCTGTTTTTTTGGGACACATCCTGTTTACAAGATGTTTTTTTTTGTTGTTTAATAAGTCAGTCAAGCAAGGGGAGAAGGTTGACGTTAAGACGGAAAGTATTTTTGTGTCGAGAATAAACTAAAGGCCATCTCTGTCATTTTAGATACACAAATAACCGTTTGATTTGCACAATGGTGCATTTAAGGCAAGAAAAATAAAGACTGTTGGGCTGAGTTTTGTAAATGTTGTTAAGTGCTTAGTTGTATAATGTAAAAAAGAATTATACCCCTGAGGTTGGAAGTCTGCTGCTGAGTTTTTTTAAATGATTCACAAGACAGCTGTCACTGCATGGCTTACTGCCCAGTGATGTTCTCCATAAAAAGCATCATTGAACACAGGGGTGCACAACTTCTTCCTCATGCATATACAATTTTTTTTTTTTTAATCGTTGCTCAAAAGAACTTGCTGAGGGGTAAAAAAAAGAAGAGTGCTCAACACTCAGCACAGTGGGCTTTGGGATTTTTCACCAGTGCTAGTGTGCATCTGAAGCCTTTTCATCAGTGGCAGTGATGCTGCTGCTGCTCCTCCTGAAATTATTTTGCTGCACCAAAACATGAACAAGGCTATTCTGAGTCAATCTGCCCCCTTCCCCCCTTCCAGATGGATATTCTGGTCCTGGTGAATCAGATTTTACTTTTCTGCAGGTATCCTTGCATCACACACTGTAGACAGGAGGCTCAGATAGGTGCAGGCTTTCACTCCCTCTGTGGCCCGTGTGTGTCATTGCCAGGATTGCTTTCAACATCACTCTGAGTTACCTGTCAAAAAACGTCATTTCATTCTTTGCTGTGGAGAAAATATACAGGGCACGGGAAAATAGATTGCTTTGCATACACCCACATGCAGCACAATCTTTGTGTCACTGCTGTGAGTGAGACAACAGCCTTTAGTAGTTCCCCAAAAGCTGGGCTGTCAGGTCCAGGGCCAGGGAGTCCTTACGATTGTGAACGCCTTCGTTAGACCTAGCGCACATTTGTTGACAGTGTGGTGATAGCTCTTGTTTGTTTTCATGTGACTGTCAACCCAATTTGTGTTTTTCTTTTTTTTCTTTTTTTGGCTCCAAGCAAGACGATTTTTGATAGAATCGGTGCTTTTTAAGTAAGAGAGACATTTCTCCTCACACACCCATGCTTTTTTTGCGGTTGCAAGCGAAATGACACACAAATAAAAAAAATGCATCTAAAGATCAGGCCACTCCCTCCCCAGCTGGTCTCTTTAATGCATTCTCCATGATGAGAGCCGTGATTCATGTATGTGATTCATTCACACACTGGGGCATTCGCTCATCATTTCATTAATATTCAGCGACATAAACATCTAATACTTCATAAACTACCTCACAAACTGCCCTTATTATCCCCCCCTCAATGAAAGCCCCCCCCCCCCAGGGTAATATTTGTTGAACCGCATTTATTTTATGGTAGGGCATTATGTTAACATAATAAATGCACTTTCACTTTTACAAACTCTTGCATTAAAAGCAGACTGAATTCAATAATGGAGTCCAATACCAGCTATTAGGTATTAGAAAAGCTGTTTTCAGTCATTTCACCAGAAGGCTGCCTCTAAATTCCTGTTGTGACCTTGTCATACAAATGTGCATTAAAGCCAATATAGTTTGATCTTATAAAGTGATAAACTGTGTTAAAGCTAATGACACCTGTTCATATTATAAGGTCTCATTTAAACCATTTGAGGAGATTTAATTAATGCACAAAATCATAGTGCTCAGTTCATTAGAGTATCTTAGAGGCATTAAGATGATAATTTCTTGCTCTTATCAGGCATTTGCTTGTATAAATCTGATCATTTTATTTTACCCTGATACAGTGTGGTTATACTTAAACAGGTCATCGGTTTACCCTCCGATTGTAACGAGTAACACGCTGGGATGGACATTTGTACATAATTACAACACAAAGTCATCTGACTCACTGAGATCCATTTTCCTCCTCCAGAAGTTAAGTCAGATAAACTCTGACTCCGTTCTACTCGGTTCAAAAACAGAGGCAGCTCCTGTGTGCGTTGACGGTCTCTGAGATGAGTGCGTTGGTGACAGAAGGGGGCCTAAGATGGATTAGATATGGTTTTATCAATGAGCAGCAGGCTGGTATGGCGGCTGCAATCTCTTATCATGTTGTCTCAATTTGTAAGGCAGTAGGAACAAGGAAAAGTGGAAAAAGGAGATGGAAGAACTTCAAGTGAAGACAGAGAAACAGAGTTGAGATATTCCAATATCCAAGGAAATGTAGAAAGTGAGAATTTTAATGGTTAAAAGTGGTATTGTTTAGTAAAGATGCCTCAGCAAGAACCTGAATGTCAACTAGCTCTGAATAATTATCCGTGCCAAAGGCAAGCCATGTGGCCTTCTTGTGACAATGAATTTCTCAACTCCTCTTTAAACCTGCATCTTTATTAGGCCCCCCTCTCTTGAAATAAAGTTCATATGACATTTTATGTTTCTATTATTTATGAGTTAGGCGGCTGTTCATTTTATGGGCTTTTGTGCGCTCCCCTCCAGGCTTACATCACCACCCTGCCATCAGTCTTAAGCTGTCACTTCTCTTGTCACATTTTGTTCCACGGTTTTTGATAGTTCCTCCTTCTGTCACGACAAATGCATTAATGTCATTTGAGTGTGTCCCTACACATTAGACCTGTTTACACTCTTCAGCAAAATTATAAACCCAGACCTGTTAAGTTGGGCAATAGTTACCTGTCCTTTATTAGTAAAAGGGCGACAATACATCAATACACCATAGAGATAAATATAGGCTAATTGCTCTATTCAAAATGTCTGTAGGTGTGAAAGCATGAGTGCATAGTTGTATGTGGCGTTATTTTGGCCCTGAAATAGAGCATCTCCAGGATGTGTCCCAGCTCTTTCCCAATGTCAGCTGGGATAGGCTCCAACTCGGTTGTGGTCCTATCAGGATGGATGGTTTTCATACTAAAATTTAGCATAGCTACCTTTTGTGGTTACATGCCTGTGAAATCTAACTGGACTTGTGATCAATCAAATTCAGTTGTGAAGAGTTTTGTCTTACTAGGTTTGTTTTTGTTTTTTCAAATACTTCGCATCCTACACTGTTGGCACATCCTGAGCTGTTTGATATGGTCCCACTGGTGACCTGAAAGGCTTTTGAAGAATGATGTGAATCATCATGTCACAAACAATGATCAGCTTTAAGCTCCCAGACAAAGTGCAGCAAAGTGGGAGCAAATCCCTGAGTCCAAATCCCTCACATTTTCACAATACACAATTTTGTTCTCTGGATGATTTGTAATATCCTTATTTCCTTCTCTTGTTGTCAGAGTTGAGGGATTTAAAAGCTTGTGGTTTTTGCCCACTTACAAGCATCTCACTAAAAGCAGTTCTGACATAGTGCATTAGTCTCTCGAAGAAACATGAAAAAGCTGCACAGCGTCGTGCCGCATCTTAATCTGTGGCATATGGCTTTCAAATGACCAGCTTACACCTTGTCTGTCTAAGATCTAATCTGCTATTAAAAATAAGCCAATCCTTTTTAAATACTGCAAGCGTAATACGATTATAGTTTTAAGTCTTGTTCATGCTACACAGTGAATCTACAGAGATGTTTATAAAAGAGAGGTGCTTCATAAAACAGTAGATTCATATCACAGTTTTGTGTCCAACATTGAAGTAAACCATGTTTCATTTTTGGCTCCTTTATGTCTTTTGATAATTCTAGATGCCAGCAGTAATGTAATTTGATGAGAGACATGCTTGGCTCATATTTTCTCGGACTTAAATGCTGAACTCTTAGATTCCGGATGTCCAAAAGATCTTCGTAATGGCTCTCAGACTGAGTTTCCAGTTGGGTGATTAAGAACTTCTCTTTTTTGCCTTCAGAAACCACCCTTGACTTGATCATACGAGCCAAACACATTGGTACCACTTCAATTTTTAATATTTCTCTAACCTCCAACTTTACACTGCTAATTCAAAGCTTTCATTGAGGTTGGAATTTAACTGTCTAGACACAATCTTACTGCAAGTCAGGATCTTTTATGTAGCGGGGTTAGGGTTAAGGTTTGGCAGCTGTGATAGGAGAAATATATTGCAAAAAGAAGAAAAAGAAGAGAAAAAGATTCAAAAGAACACTTTTATCATTTTTACTATTAGCGTAGCACATCATTATATGACAGCAACAATGTTACAGTGTTCAGTACAGTTAGCTGCATTAATTATTCATATGAGTCCAATCTCAGTCTCACTTTGAGAGTTCTCATATGCAATTAGATGTAATGAATGTGCTTCTTAATTACATTCATTTGTGCAAATTTCCATTCCCCATTGAATTTTTCTGTGGAAACATTGTGACACTGACCAATGGCATATCATTTGCAATGTGACTAAATCCATTCAGCATAGAACAATTAGCTGTAATTAGTGTTACAATGTCATCAGCGACCAGGGGGAAAGACTAAGCTGACATGCTAGACAGAAGAAGACCCTTGTTACGAGAGTCAGAAGTCCAATAATGCAGCAAGAGCCAGATAATTGGCTGACCACAGGTTAGAAATATGATGAACTGTTGGAGGACTGCTGAGCATTTTTTCTCCAAACTTTTATTCATGCATTTCTTTAATAGCAAAGCCACACAGTAACTGCCTGTGCAACCTTGTAAGTTTGCCAGCCCATCTCATCATCTGCTGCTGAAAAATGAGCAGCTTTGCTGGGGTAATTAAGAATGAAGTGCCTTGCTTAAGGGTATATCACTGCTAGTTGAAATATGGGAGGTGGTATTTTTTATTCATTTCACATTGTGACCTTACATATTGT